GCGTGGCCTGCCAAAGCAGTGCATCGGTGCGTGCCCGGGATCCGAACCAGCGAACCCCGGGCCGCCGCAGCGGAGCGCGCGCACCCAACCGCTTGTGCCACCGGGCCGGCCCCTCATTTGTTTTTAAGGTTGAATAATATTTCATTGTACCACATTTTGTTTATCCATTCACTTGTTCAAGGACATTTGAATTCTTTCCACCTTTTGGCCATTGTGAATAATGTTGCTATGAATGTTGGTGTACACTATTTGAGTCTCTGCTTTCAATTCTTTTGGGTATATACCCAGTAGTGGAATTGCTGAATCATATGGTAACTTTATGTATAACTTTTTGACGAACTGCCAAACTTGTTTTCCACAGCAGTCGCACCATTTTACATTCCCACCAGCAACGCACAGGGGTTCCAATTTCTGCACACTCTCATCAATACTTGTTATTTTCTGTTTTTTAAAAATATTTATAATAGCCATCCTAATGGGGCTGGAGTGGTATCTCATTGTAGTTTTCATTAATACATTGGATTTTAAATATATTGAAGATAGCTGAATACATAAATGCTATATCCTTCAATACCAAAAGTCTACTCTATTTTATTAATGTGCCTGTTGCCTGGGAATGCCACTTCCAAGATTAAGTTGCAGAAATATGCAAAAATCCGGAGTCTGATATTATATAAGAAAGATTAATAATTTACTTTAAGAGGTTAAATTAGAGAATAGAATTTTGTGAATTTATGTATATTCAGACTGCTAAATACTTGTGATTGTTAATGATAATTATAAATTATGAAATGTGTGCCGCAGAATGGAATCAAACTCTTAAAAAGTCATAGAACAGAATATTTGCAAAATCTAATTTAGAGCTTTTTTAGCTTTGGTAATAAGTTTGAATAAAGATGGTATATGGCCATTTTATTATCAATTAACAATTTTATAGAAATTAGAATCTATTTGCTGTAGCATTCAGGGATGAACTTTTAAAAAGGTTGGTACTAGGACTGTTAATAGCCAAGCTATGTAGGTGACTTTAAAAACATATATTAAGGAAAATCCTGGAGTAGAGCTTGCCTTATTATTTTCTGAATCTGTCTACCTGTACCCCTTCCTTCCTTCTTTTCTAGTTCACTTGTTCATTTATACATTTATCCATTCACTCACTCATTAATTAATTCAATTTTTAAAAAAATTTCATTTATTTATTTTTCCCCCAAAGCCCCAGTAGGTAGTTGTATGTCATAGCTGCACATCCCTCTAGTCACTGTATGTGGGACGCGGCCTCAGCATGGCCGGAGAAGTGGTGCGTCGGTGCGCGCCCAGGATCCGAACCCGGGCCGCCGGCAGCGGAGCGCGCGCACCCAACCGCTAAGCCACAGGGCCGGCCCTAAATTAATTCAATTTACTTACAAATATTCATTGTTGCCAACTGTATACGAGACACCATGTCAGCCCTAGGACTTCAGGAGAGGTTCACAGATATAGTCCTTCTATCTCAGAACTGCTTATGTTCCTGAGGGACGCAATTAAACTAAACTACTGTATAGTATAAAAAGCACTATCATAGGAGAATTCTGGGATACTATGAGGGCGCCTAGGATGGGTGTCGAACCCAAACTTGAGGGTGGTGTCAAGGAAAGCTTTATGGAGGCGGTGATTTTGTTTAAGCTGAGTCCTTACAAGTAGGTATTAATCATATAAAGGGGGTGATGAAGAGTATTCTAGGCTTAGAGAATAATAGCATTTGCTAATAGTTCAGAAACAAGGTGGAATAAGACTTTTTCAAGGAAATGAAAAAGATTCAGGATGGCTGGACTGTGGAATATGAAGGAGAGAGTGGTTAGAAGTGAAACTGGGGAGATAAGAAGTAGCAGATCATGTAAGGTTTCATTTTAAGACATTTAGACTTAATTCTAAGGGTATTGGGAAGCTTCTGAAAACAGATGACATGATCAGATTTGCATTTTATTCAATTTATTTAATATTAATCTTATTTATTTTTGGATAGGGAGTACATTCATATGGTAAAGTTTAAAATGTACAAACAGTATACAGTGAAAAGTCTTCCTCTAATCCCTAACCCTCAGTCACCTGCTTCCTCCTCTCAGTGTATCTGTCCAGTGGTGGTGTTCCTATACGAAAGACAGTATGTACATGTATTCCCCTTCCTGTTTTTATTTAGATGGTAGTATACTTCACAGACTTTTGCACCTGGCTTTTTTCCCTTCACTGAAACATACTTTACAAATTGTTTTATATCTCATTGTCTTTCATACTTTTATTTATTTAGTTTTTAATTGCTGACATTTAGATATATTATACGCATGCCATTTTCCACACGTATGTGTGTATCTGCAGGATAAATTTCAAAAAGTTGAATTCCTGGGTTAGAGGGTTTGAAAATGATGATAGATTTTGCCAAATTGCTGCTATAGAGGTTGTATCATCTTATTAGCACACGAGAAATATGTAATTTTGCCTGTTTTCCCACATCCTTACTGTCATAGTGTGTTACCATTGTTTTTGATCTTTGCTAATCTGATAGGTAAAAAGTAGTATTTCAGTACGGTTTTAATTTGCATTTCTCTTATTATGAGTGTAGTTAAGCATTTTTACATATGTTTAATAACCATTTGTATTTCTTGTTATGTGAATGAACTGTTTGTTTCTTTTGCATACTTAAAATTGGGTTTTCCTTTTTATTAATTTATAGGAGGTCTTTATATGTTAGGGAAACTGGCTCTTTGTCTATGATATAAATTGCAAATATATTTTTACCAATTTGTCGTTTTAATTAAATTAATTAATTTATTTTTGTGAGGAAGATTGTCTCTGAGCTAACATCTGTGCCAGTCTTCCTCTGTTTTGTATGTGGGATGCTGCCACAGCATGGCTTGATGAGTGATATGTAGGTCTGTACTCTCTGGGCCACTGAAGCAGAGTGCGTGAACTTAACCACTTTGCCATTGGCCCGGCCCCTTGGCTTTTTAATTTTAATTATGATGTTTTTTTGCCACACACAGAATATTATATTTTTATTTAGTTGAATTTATTCATCTTCTTCTTTCATGGCTTCTGGATTTTCGAGTTGTAATTAGAAAGGTATTCCATCTTCAAGGGTTTAAAAGAATTTTCCCATGTTTTCTTCTAGAACATTTATGGTTTTCACATTTATATACTTGATCTGTTTAGATTTCGTTCTGGTATAAAGTGTGAAGTATGGATCCAACTTTTTTTTTTTTCCTGGATGACTACCCATTTATCCTGCTATCATTTATCGAGTTTTTCCCTGCTGATTTGAGATGCTAGATATACTAAATTCACATATGTATTTGAGTTTATTTCTGGACTTTAAGTCTTATTTAATTTAAATTTATTTGTCTATTTATTTGCCAGTCTCTTTTGAGATTTTATAATATGAATATGTTTTGATATTTGGGAGTACTCATCCCTCTCCCCTCCCATTCTCTCCTCATTGCTCCTCTTTTACAGAGTTTTCCTGTTTTTTTGTTTGTTTATTTTCCTATATGAATTTTAGGATCAATTTTAATATCTAGTTAGAAGAAAACCTATTGAAATTTTTATGGCATCAAGCTAAACTTATAAATTAAATTAAGGGATTATTGACATCTTTAAGATATTAATGATTCTGCCCCAAAACATGAATGTCTTTCCATTTGTTTAAATTTGTGTTGTCATTCTGTAAAATTTTCTTTGTAAAGGTCTTGCAAATTTCTTGTTAAGTTGCAGTAGTTTTTTTTGAATCTCTTGGATTTTCCTAGTAATACTTATAACTCCTGCAAATATTAATAGTTTTACTTACACCTTTCCAATTATTATATCTCTAATTTATTTCTCTTCTCTAATTGTATAGGCTGGAAATACAGTACAATATTAAATAATATTTGTAAGATTATCTATCCTTGTGTTGTTCCTGGCTTAGTGGGGATGAT